GGGGGGGGGGGGGGAGAGAGAGTGTTTAAACACCATTTCTCAATACTGGACATTTGTAAGACCAATCTGGTTTCTCAAAATCTGAACGATGAAAAACCATGGAGGGCAGTGAGTGATAGTAACAACAATGCCAGACATAAAACACCTTTTAATGAAAGACTTTTGACGCTATTACACTCACTCCAATTTTGTTTAAGTCAATCAATCGGGATTTTTTTATCTTTTTGCCGTAAATTCCAACAATCGAATCCGAGACGTTATCGTGGGACACGATTACGGAACTGCGGCAGTAGATATCGATATCGAACTGCAGTAACGGGTCAACTTTTCTTTCGGTGGCGATTATGGAGAATTCGAACATGATGTATAGTAGCAACATGCAGCCGGGGATGCAGTAGGTCAAGATGGTGGCCATCAGGTGCCGCCTGGCGACGATGAAGCGCTTCATGAGCAGGGCGGTCAGTTGGCTGAGCTTAAGCCGGGCACCAGTTGCCACCTTGAACCCAGAATTAAAATCTGCAACAACAACCAAAAAAAAAAAAAAAAAAACGCCCACGTTTTTCAAATCTCCCCTGTCGTTTTTTTTTTTTTTGGGGATGCAGTAGGTCAAGATGGTGGCCATCAGGTGCCGCCTGGCGACGAGGAAGCGCTTCATGAGCAGGGCGGTCAGTTGGCTGAGCTTAAGCCGGGCACCAGTTGCCACCTTGAACCCAGAATTAAAATCTGCAACAACAACCAAAAAAAAAAAAAAAAAATCGGTTACGTTTTTCAAATCTCCCCTGGCGTTTGTTTGTTTTTTAGTTAAAATCATTAAAAGATTTCCGTGAGAGCTTAGTACACGGACTCCCAACCCATGGGCCATGGCCCCCAAGAAACCAAGGCCCATCATGTCTAGTTAGAACGTGATTATTATCCTATATTTGAACATATACAATATCTTCAATGGGTTACCTAAAATATTTTCTTCTTCCGATGATTTGCTGATAAAACTGCCAACAGACTTTTCAACAGACTCCACTGGTATCGACACTGCATTCTTTACATCCTCATCCGGTCTGAGAAAGAGAATGAATAGCCATGAGATATTTTAACACGCCAGAAAAAAAAAAAGGTTTACAATGCTGATCTTCAATGGTATAGCTCTGACATCAGAGGCGTAGCTAGAAGGGGGCAGGGTGTGGCATATGTCCCTTGGCGCCAAAAAATCTAGCTACACCTCTGTCTGACATACATGTGGGGTGAAAATCCTCTTTCAAAGTCTCGTGTATGCTATTACGATTAATATCGAGTTATTTCAATATGTTGATTTACTTGTTTCCATACGTGTCATCTGTCATCCATATCACTTCCAAGTTCCAATCAGCACATCTCTTCTACGCCATGCAATCTAACTAAAAACAAAATTCGTTATAAAGAGCAACAGTTTCAAGCAGTTTAAAACACATTTTTTATTACTTTAAAAAGACTTCCTCCATTGTGGTGGCCGTGGTGCCAAAGCTCAGGATCATGAGGTCTTTTTTCTTGGCTTTCAGGTGTCTGAAAAGCGCGGAGAACTTGTCGCAGTCGGTTTCGGGGAGCAGGTAGGAGATCTCCATGCTGACCACACTCTCGACTTGAGCGTTGGGGACGAACGTCTGGATGAACTTGGTCAGGGTGTCCGTGTGGCACCTGTTCTCTTTGACAATCACCAGGTGATAACCGGTACCTGCGATAGCAATGAATAGACTTAGCCACAAGGTGATATCACGTACCTGCGATAGTGGCGAATAAAATTAATCACCAGGTTATATTCGACACCCGTGGGAGAGATAAATACACTTAGTCACCGAGTGATGTCCGGTATATGTGTTTGTTTTATATTTAATCACCAGGTGATACCCGATATCTGGGTTAGTCGTATACTTAATTACAATGAAGATATCTGGTACCTGGGTTATACTTAATTAGCAGGTGATACCCAGTACCTGGGTTAGTCATATACTTAATTACCAAGTGACACCCGGTAACTTGGTTAGTCATATACTTAATGACCAGGTGATACCCGGTACCTGGGTTAGTCATATAGTTAATTACCAGGTGATACCCGGTACCTGGGTTAGTCGTATACTTAATTACCAGGTGATATCCGGTACCTTGGGTTAGTCGTATACTTAATGACCAGGTGATATCCGGAGA